TTTCTGCAAACTTTTTCTACAAAGTTATCTTAGCGTAAAAAAGTTCAAACAGTTAATGTCAAGTTTTTACGCTGTTGCTGACGTTGCTTGGATAGTGTGTGAGTTGTTATTGCGTCGAAATATATTATTGTTTTGTTTTATACAACAACGCATATGTTGTGATTGAATCTTTTATTGAAATTAATATGTTTAAGATATATTGCTTTAGCGAATTAGTCTATTATAGGGTTAGCACTATTATTTAAGGGGTGCCCGAGTACAGAAAACCATATTTTCCATCTTCAGGGTTTCTAGAAACCAAAAGATTGTCAATCTATATAAGGTATATTTACTCTCATATCTTTTGCGAAATATGGGTTAAACGTGTAAAAATATATGTATTTAAACTAGTTTGCGGCCCGGATATCTTGATCATAGGATAGGGATCATTATGGAACGTTTTGCATCCCTAAAATAACTTTTAATACTTTTTATTCATGTTGAAAGATTACTACGCTTCATTTCCTAAGGCGCGCGATTTAATTTTGTTGTTCCCCAAATTCATCCGTCCTTTTGAATCATTTTTTAAAATGAGAATAACCAGTATAATATTGTTAGAAAACATTATGTATCCTCGTTTAAAATAAATCCAAGGCCTAAGGGATTGCGTCAAATGAATGGTGTGATGGTTTTGTTCCTGCTAGAGTAGCTGTTTCTTTATCGAGGATAATAAAAAAAGTTCTCATATCGAAAAAAAAACAAAAAACTATCGTTTTGTTTGATGGTCGAACTAGTGTCCTTCTGAACACTAGTCAAACATCCGGTATCTTATAAAATACAAAATTGAATTTATAACATTTGCACTAACATTTTTCTATTGCTCCCTGTTCAATGATGGAGTCATTTTTGTGAAATGCAGCTCTTCTCGAAACTTAAACAAAATTTCGTAAACCCTGCTTTGTATTTATCATGTTTTATTGGAGACATTTACTCCTATGAATTGTGCAGATTTATAAACTTGACTGTCATTATTTCGATCTAGTTTGCGTAACGCGATGCACCTTTGTAATTTGGTACATTGTATCTGGTACAAAAGCACTTAAATGTTAGTAAACACGATTTCTCAACAGATAAGCTGTGCACTTGAAACCCAGACGTTCGCGTGGCATTTTTATTAATGAAATCAACTTCCATCAACACAAAGTTAGTTGATTCGCTGACAGCGTGTAATTTAATCCAGCGACCTCTGACCTGGCTGCCGCGCGCGCATTTTTGTGCCAAACTCCAACTTTGTATCCCGAAGGTTCATCGGCAGGTGGAGGTCAAATGAGGCGAATTCTTTCGTAATTATTGACTCTGCATTTGCTCTTTCTGCAATTGCGTTTTGGTGAAATTATGGCTGGTGCAGCGTCTTTGCTATTGTAACATAACCTGTTTGCGTCGTGGTGTTTTTATTGGTTATTCTGTTTTTTGTGTTTTGCGTAGTTGGCGTTTTGGTTGGATTATTGCTGGTTCAGAATTGGAAGGTAAAATATAATTGTTGAATGCAGGTTTCTAGAACAATAAGTTCTATTGTTTCAAAATTGATGTGGTTTTATTATTCCATTGATCTGTTCTGTAGGCCTTTGTAATGGGAGAACATGTTTAAACTGCTTGTATTACTCCCCTTTCAACTTTATCAATGGCAATGTATTGTTGTTAGGTTGATTGAATAATTATGTGCAGCCAGAGATCCAGGGGAGGGGGTTTGGGCAATTATTGCTTCCCTCTGAAAACTTATGGATATTTGCGGAAAAATCTGTTCTTGTACGCATTTGAAAATTACTACACCAGTTTTATTCAAGATTGTTTGTCAATATCAATGTTTTTCCCTAAATTACCTGTCTTAAAAAAAAAAAAGAATAATAAAGTAAATAAAAAAATTTACAAAGCAACAATTAATTAGTTAAATTGATCACAGTAATATTAATCGTACTACACATTGGAAAATTAAACTTTTCCAGACATCATTACTAACATACAGTCTACAGTTAATAATAGACTCATGAACACATGCAAATAACACTAGTAATAATTTACTTCTCTTCTCTACTCTTATTCTTCGTATACATTTTCAATCACTCAGGTTTTTCCAGCCATCTTATTAGAGTTGTCAACTAAATGGTTTGCTCTTGACTCCCAAGTGTTTGCAATCGTTGACAGGCGCCTGTGACGGTCGCTGTCTGTGCAAACAGGCGAGACTCAGTGTTTGCATAGCGATGAAATCGTATCCCGCGCGAAGAGGAAAAAGACCCTGTTTATCCCTAAAAGCTGGTGAGAAATCCCGATTTCCATACAGTATTTAAAGTTGTGTCGTACATTAATTCGATAAAAGATTTTTTGATCTGAAGTGTTTGTAGAGATCATTTTTAGAGCTCAATTGTGAACAAAAGTATAAAAGTATGCAACGTGAATTTAGATATAATGTACTGTATATAACGTGAATAACTGATGGCAGAGCGCGACACTTCGGTCCTTGAATTGATGAGTTAAAATCCCTCATAACATCAATAGTATTTTATCGAAGCTGTGATGCTGCAACCCCAGGTGTCTGAAGCATCGAAGTATATAACACAACGGTTGTGTTATATACTTCGATGTTCTGTCTGAAGTTACGTGAAAAACGACCTCAGGTTAGAGTCTAGCGTCCTGGGACAAAAAAAAAACCTTTAGGCCTACATATTTTTAAATATTTATTATCTCATCATTTATTGATCCATCTTCTAATGTCTGTCACTGTAGTAAAATGCCTTTCTTCAGTTCAGTTTCTCATTACTTTGATCAAAATCGAATTATCAACCGGAGTCAAACAGGTGAACTCTGCTTTTGACATTGAATAATTACTAATACTACTTATTCCCTTGCCTAGGATATTATTTAACAATTAGTTTTGGAGCGTGGCTAGTATAGTGAATAGAACGCAGGACCTATGTCAAATGTCCTAGAAGACATAAGTTCTAATCCTGCTAAGACAATTGTAAAAGTGTCGGTGGGGGCGAGGGGTTCAGTGTTGGTTCCAGAGAGCACAGAATAGAAATAGAATAGAAACAGAATAGAAATTTTCTATTCTGTGCTCTCTGGTTGGTTCAGCCATTCTAAAACACTAAAGAAGAAAGGTATCTCTCTTCATATACTGTATTTTGTAACCTGAAAAACAGGTAAATGTACAATAGGGAATCCGAAATCACATATTGCTTATCTTGGTTCAAAATGTGAAGAAAAATCCCGCATCCCACAACCGATACGAAAATCAACAAGTGGGTGCGAATCGTTGGACGATATCAGCGCCAATTCTCGGTAGTGGCGAGTAATGCAAATAGTGATAACAGATATCAGTATAAATACGGCGCCTGCACCGCTCACCGCTCCTCCCATTGATAGCTGATAATGGCTGTTGAAGCAAACACTCTCGTAGAACTCGTATCTATGTTTACGCGCTACGATACCTAGGAAAGTGCATTAAATGATGATTCAACTAACTTCATGGAATCCAAGTGTATCCAATGGTTCGACATATTGAGTTCCTAGATGCTTCTTGTTTGCTAGGATTATTTTCTGAACCACAATGATGTACTCGTTCTCTTTTATCTAAATTGTTGTTTGATACATCCTCATGGTTGAGTATAAAACAATCCATTTACTGTAAATCTTTTGTTTGCTCATGAGGATTTATAACATTCCTATCGAAATCTTAGTTTAAAAGTAAATTTTTAGGATTGTTGTTAAAAGATACACTAGTTTCAATCATCATGTTTGGAACAAGGAAATCTGAAAACATCATGTATCCTATACACTTTCCCAGAAACGTTCTGTCCCGTTTCATTTCCTTGTCCTTTTCTCTGTAGTGATGTCTTAGTCAATGGTTTAACAATAATGGGTGTTTCAAAACGTACTCGATAACATAAGCAGCTTGTACAAGTGTATCTATTTGACCTGTTGTTTGTAACTAATATGGTCCAACATATTGGATAAATACTGTAATGATAGCAAAGATCGTATAAAGCGAATTTCCCTATTTTATTCACAGGTGGTGTGGTGGAAGGTTTTCAAACAAAATCTATCCAATCACTCAATTTACATAAGTAAACCACGAGATGAGTCACGTTTCGGAAAAATGCAATTTGAAAAAGTTGATATAAGAAGCTGGTCACATGGTATGGATTGTCACCTGCAGATTGTTACGGACTTCACGTGTATGCATCTTGCATAACTGTGGCATGTCGACGCACGTTTACTCGCCTACAACCATATGTTGCATTGTAACTTGCAGTAGAAAAACGTGCATCTTACGAGGGAATCGGGATTGATGTGTTAAAAATTGTATTATTGATCGAATGATAGACTTAATGAGTTGAAGATTTGTTGATTTGTTTGAGTTAAATCTGCGCGAGTGTTAAATCTTGATATGGTCAGATTATTAGCTGTAGTTTTTGCTATTGATGACATGTTTGTACTACTATGCAATTCAATGATAAACAATTTTCTTGTTACAAACATCCAATACCTCTGTCAAAACCAAAATGTAGGTTCAAGATACTAACTTAGTCTTGAAATAGTTCTTTAGAATAGTTTCTTTAGAAAATTACAGAATATGTTAGAAATTTACAAAAGCTTTCGATTTAAATTGTCGTCCCACTCCTTTATCCGTGATGTTTAAAAATTAAGTTGATTTCTTGTGTGGCAAACTCAAAGCTCTATATAAACAACCTTTTTACAACTATACTAGTTCAGTACATATACAATGTACCGGATTTATATATACATCCGTTATCACAAAAACTCGAGTAAGAATGATCCGAGTTTTGAGTAATTTGGTACAAACATGTTGTTTATTATAAACGAGTTCGCAAACTAACACAATCGGACCAACGAGTTTTTATTGGGTAAAAGTGCGTTTCTTCCTCTTCTAATTCTCTAAACATAAATTTCTTTCCAAACTTGTTTCTTTTCTAACTTCTAAACATTTTGTTCGTCTGTTACAGGTGTACAGGGGATTGGATATAGTGACCAACAAAGTGACAAAGGAGGAACAGAAGGAGGTTCCCCACCATATGATAGACTACCTCGGGCCTGGGGAACCTATAAAGGTGGTGGACTTCAGGGATAAGGCGCTCCGAGTAGTATCCTTTATAAACATAGTGCGTGCTTCACTTAAGTAAGCACTTTGTGTACAGTAGGTAACTATAAGTTTAAATACATACAAAGTGAGTTTGTAGTGAGTGAGAATGGAGTGCAGGGACTCGTGTAGCTTTGATAATAAACTATTTTTCTTTAATCGGGGGCAATTATCGATTAAAAACCGCTTGGTATTATAAGACAACTAAAAGCAAATGGCTTTTTTAAAGATTTAATTGGTGGCCTGATTATTAGGTGAACACTTTAATTACACTTAGTCTTAATAATTCACAGCTATGCATAAGGAGGAATTTTATATTTTACTTTCAAATAAAAATGCACAAATTTTCCAACTTATGCCAAGAATATTAGTCTAGCTAGTTGGTAAGATATTAGCCCGTATGCGCTTCTTTTGATAGAAAAAATACTTTTTCAAAGGTTTTAGCTGTAAATAGTATCCATGTGGAATTTTATATATCCATATGTTTACGTTTTAATTAGATTTTGATTTTGAACAACCATTGATTTTTTTACATTTAAATGAAAAGTTTATCCTTTGAACTAGCTGCATAGGCCTACTTGACAAAATACATGTGTAGTTTAGTCAAATAACGTGCTCCTATTGGCTTATCAACACGTTAGATTACGAACAATACGGTTTTTACTCGATATCTAACGACCGACATTGAATGGAGACACAATTGCGCGGCAATATTGAATATTCTCCCGCCAATATCTGTATCGGTAGTATCAGATCCACGTGAAGAAGTCGAGTCACGTGGAGTGGAATGCTGAATGTCGCCTTGAAATAATAGTGTTGTATCACCTGTGGACACATTTGTGTTCTACATACTGAATACATACACCTACCTACTGTGTGGTATATACAGGGTGAATCACGTTAGGTGTCCACTATTGATTTCAGACAAACTGTTCGTCCCACAATGATTAAATTTTAAAAAATTCCCCTTCAAGCGAACCCTAAACTATATAGAACTATACAGTAATAGTTGTCAATACACAAATTTTGGTAAATTCAAAATTTGACTGTTCTTTTTTTTATAGCGGCTCCTTATGAGGTGACATGTTGGTACTACAGTAATTTTGAATACGTTTAAAAAAGTAGATGTCCCTGATTAAAAATGTTACATTGCTAATGAGCTAAACTTTACTTTGATATGCAATATTACAATATCAAAATACAAACATTAAGCAAATTACATAGTTAATTCTCAAAAAATTGAATGTGATTTTTATGAAGGATTTATATGAGAAAGATAGATTTTATATTTAAGTTTGGGCCACCTTGGCGGAAATGGTTTATAAAAATGTTCATTGTTAAACAGACTTTTGTCTTCAGCTGATCCATGAGGATGATAAATCTAATGGTATTGGATAGATAGCGTAAAAACTATATGTTCTCTTCTCACTCCGGAAATTTTGTAAAACGAAAGATCCTCAAGATATTTATACAAACTGCTAAATTTATTGCGTAGTTTAACAATGTTTGATTGGTTTACAGGATTTTTTTTTACCAATAATATGTTTACTCTCGATAACCAGTTATAGCTATTTATAATTCATAAAAAATGCATATGAAATTCTTTGTTTTCTAAACAAATGGATTACACAATTAATGTGTCGAAGAGACTATATCAATGTTTTTCATAAAGCAGCAATATGTTGCAAGGTTGTGCATGCCTTTTCGAAACTTAAAAGGTTAGGTAGTATTTGAGGGCTATATAGTTAATTGTAGAAATTAAAAGTAAATTTATCTCTTGGAAAGTTATAGACACATTCTTTTATTTAAGCCAACAAAAAGACAAATACAGTACTTATTATTCCACCTAGTACATAAAAGCGTGTTTATTTAAACTATCGTAATTTGATGTTACTTATTACTTTCACTCTAAATTTACACCCTCTATGTTCCTAAAGTAAACCCACCAAAACGCACTTTTGTTTGACGAGGCGACATTTTTTAACAGTTGTCGTTAAGTCGGAAGTTTGTGGGTTTTATTTTTGGAGTGTTAATTCCGACAAATGGCCTGAACGGAATCCCCCCGCTGTGATATACAGGGAACTTATAACCTTGTCTATTCTTGTGCCCAGAAACAACGGTGGATATACGAGCTGTTTTACTTTGGTCGAGATGTGTAGGTTTGCTGCTGAAAGGGTTAAGCAACTTACAATAGTGTTTGAATTATGTAATTGACCTTTACACTACAGGAGGAAAAGATTATGGGATTTTTTGGAAATATTTGCTTTTTTGAATATAGCTGTGTCAGTTAATTTGTAATTCTATGGAACCATATTATGCTAATGTAATGCACCATTAGAGCAGGTTTGCAGCTGGAAGGGTTGTTTGAGTGAATGACACAATAATGTTTTATATATTTGATTGTAAATTTCTGTAAATTGTTGAGAAAGACATTGATTTTTAATATTTGTGTATTACTTATTTAAAACTTACTTACTCAAGTTCCCAAACGACGAACACAATACACTACAATAGTAATTTGTGGGACCACTGAAATGTTTTGTGTAATTAACCGATTGATCGTTCAATATTTTCAAAAAATATATTTTTGTGTTTATCGTGAAATATTAGATAACGCGTATTGGATCTGCCTCTTGAATTGCACAATTCCATTTAATCGCTGCAGTTTTATTGATAAAAGTGTACTTCACAATACGTTGTTACCATCATTCATAAAAAAAAATAAAAAAATAAAACAATGTATGTACCTTGTTGTGTATTCGACCTAGCTTCGTCTCTAATTTTACACCCCAGTCGCCGTTGTGTTTTGACGGGCAAGAGTCTGGGAGTAAAACGAATTCAGTGTTCACCGATTGTGAGTGAATGACGGCACTTAGTCATTTCAAAATTACTTAAGTCTGTCTCAGTAGACGTCTTCTAAGTGGAGGGTGACTTGGGACGTGACGACAGCTGATTGATTACAAAAAAATATTATCTAGAGTATTGAAAAACGTTCGCAAAATCACTTTTGAACACTAAAGCAAAATCGCAAATACTTTTGACTATAGGTATAGATAAAGGGATCGCAAATACTTTTGACTATAGATAAAGGGATCGTGAATATGTGACCAGTTTTTGAATAATAACATATTTTTTTTCAACGATGAAAAAATGTTCAAGCTGTGAACAAGGCTGGGGGTAGCTGCGTGAATAAAGTGTTCGCCACTAATATTAAGAACAGAAAATTATTGACCATAAACAAAAACAGATTACGTCACTGACTTGAAAATAAACATGTTTTTATTAATATTTAATTGGAACTGTCAACAATTGTTACGGAACAAACCAGCTATTACGGCTATTAGTTTGGATATTCGGACCAGTGATGTAATTTTTTAATGTTAATAATCCATACCGTTTCTGTTCTAATATTCGTTGTGTCGCACGACAGTCAAAAGGCGTTCGATACTGGGAAGTCAGTATTTTTTTATGGTTTGCAACTAGACATAGAACTAGCTAACCGTCACCATTGGACTTCAATAAATAATGGTCGTGACTAGAGAAAAGCTGATATTTAAACAGTGAGTCAATGTTATATCGACACATCTCAATTCTTCCCTCACCGTTCATTTCATATCTAGCTTTAAAATACTTAACATTTGGGCGACTATCTTTTAGATGATGACATGAATATCGATACAAATTTGTGATTCCGACTTTTACTAACTCCTTAAGGTAGTAGGGGTGTATTAAAAATGGCATACTGATAATGTTTTTTTAAACTAGTGTGTGTTAATATTATAAAACACTTTGGAGTGAATGGAACAAACAGAAACAGTGGTGAGGGAGATCCAGCATACTTTGTAAGATTCTATGCTACTATACTAAACACCGTCCTGTAGAGCTGCATGTTTAAATATCTCCCCCGCCATGTAGCCGTGCTCCAGCTGGTGTTAGGTGACACAGTGACGGAATTAGCCTTGATGAGTCACGGACCGTGCATGGTGCATCTCTGGTGCAGTCTATCTCCTCATCTTCCCCCACACAACACGGCGCGTCTCTTCAACTTTGACGTCACTAGGCGAGAATACCTAGCGTAGCAGCTGGACCGTGCCTTGGTGCAGTGTGGGTGTTAAATGTCATTTGACGGTCCACCGGGATTGTGCCACTAGGGCCAGGTAGACACCGGCAAAGCGCCACTGCTAAATCTTCCCCTCCAAAAACGCATCGTCATTGCGCCAATGCGGCATTTCTTCAAGTTTAGAAAATACTTCAAGTTCATCATTAGTTTCTCCCTTCATCATCGGGTTAGGCTAGGTTAGGTTAGGTTACATTCCATCTTCCGCCCGATTATTCCGGCTAACCGACTACCTGGGGTAGCGTCATAGAACTACAACAAGGTAGCGTTGGCGCAATCCCGGTGCGTGCCAGGCTGACCTTTTAAGAACCCTCACATAACTGGCGCAATCCTGGTCTACCTCTTAAATCGGCCGTGGCAATGTCGGATAAGCGGAAAACATAATATGATAAACCGGAAATTATATGCAAAACGTAAACATTATGCAAGTTATTGGATTTAAGTTTCTTCCTTGCTTATATTATTTAGAGCACAGGAGCTCGGAAAACTAAGGAGTGGATTAACAAATTATAGGCCTTTAACTTGTAACTTGACATACAGCTGGTGATGGGCTTCGAACTGATGGGGTTTTGGCTGTGGGGTAGTTGTATACAGTATCCAAACCGGGTTAATGGAATCAACGAGTTTTAAGGTCTTTGGTGTAAATTAATCCATTCCTTGGATTTAAAATATGCATATTTTTGTAAGGACTTAAAATATATGGGGGTTTCCATCTAATACAGAAATTTGTCCACGCTGTAGGTGAGTCCGTACAAGGTGTTTTTTGAACCACTGGATATCTGCTACTGTATGTACTTGCTATTTATGTACTTGTCGGTTAAAACGTTCTTAAGTTTTTAGGTTGAGTTGTAGTCACAATCTATTTATGGGTTGATGAAAATACAACGCAATAGGCTTCGTTACATAGTTCTTTTAAAATAAAAGTAATAAAATCGTTGTGATGTCATTTTTAAACAGATGGATTTAGGTTCTGATTAAAATATCTTCTACAGTTATGTTATAAATACACCTGAGCTGTATATACAAAAAATGTATAATTTACATGTCTTTCTTCTCCCTCCACAAGTATGTAATGTATGTATGTAATGACTGGGTGTTGTTTATTTACGCCACAGCTGTTTCTACAAGATCTATGGCATTAAGTTACAATTTTAATAGTGCTTCGCAACCTGGTTGCATAAACATCTGGTTAAACATTATCAGCTGTTTTATTTTTCTTTATTGTTTACCGCTGGTTGTTACTTGATAACTTAATCAAGAGCGTAACAATCCGGGTTGTTTACGAGGACGTAAATTGTAGCTTATTCCAAAGACGGATTCCGGTACCGTATCTAAAACTTCGATCAAAATATTGACCATTTCGATGGCCTGGTTGCCGCTTGAAGAACAATATTATACAATCTACTAGACCGTTGAAGAATACCTTCTACTTAAATTAAGATAAGTGTGGATTATGGTATCTTAGAAAATCAAAATCAAATGGAAAAACAAAATTATTCCCTGGTTCTTCGAAGTCCTTGTCGCTCAAGGTTCCTTTTACATAGTGATGGTTTACCTTTGGATACTAAAGTTGGCATTCCATCCAAGGTTCAGCCGTTCCCAGTTTTTTTTTTTTTAGACACTGGTGTCTATAACATCTTTTTTTCTTTTTTTTTGTTTATTGGGTTAATTGACGTGACACAAACGATGCTATAGCTTACAATAGGCTGTCCTATCAGTTCGACTCGGCTAATATAATCGCATAGGTATTGTACTGAAAGCAGTAATTTACATCTCAGCACAAATCTGTCTGTGGCTCAATTCATCTACTTTCTTTATGATGAAACAAATGTCAACAACTCCATGGAGTTGGATGTCTAGTTCTTTCAATAGTCAATGTCTCATAGTCTTTAATTGTTTGTCTTTGGGCAATCAACATATCTGTATAGCAAATTATACAAAACTTTAAAAAAGAAACTAGGATTTTGATTGTTCAATTTAAATTCAACTACTGTAATGTAAATGTTCTTCGATGTAACGCGACAAACCCGAGTTCGCTGAATAGTATCAAATAAAATAAATATTAAACCAGTTGAAAAACTGTGCACAGCTATCTAGAACTGATATCCGTCTCTTTCACAAGATTGCTACTACCATTCCCGCCGGAAGCGTTATCAATGGTCCAGGAACTCCCAACTCCCTTCTGTGTGACCTAGTGATAACAGCTCCAGGATATGACGTCTGTGTTATCAGTCATGCGACCATGACTGTTCCGCGGAGACATTTGCGAGAGCGATTGTAACATCCTTGGAACTACTTGAAAATCCCGTTCTTGAAATCTGATCGATCCAGATTGCATTGCAAACATCAGTCTAGTATTGATGGTAAGAAATATTGACTCAGAGATAATCTCTTGATAAGTAGCAGAATTTATGGCTTTAGCTATTTTTGTAAGTATATGCACTTTTAACCAAACTACCGAATTGAGGCTGTTAGCAATGAGTTTGTAGCCGAATCTATTAAACATTGCACCAAAAAACGAGAGCAGGACTTCTATCAAAATTCATTATACATCTTCATCAGTTAGGCTTTTCAACAAAATATCCTTAATGACCTCTAGGTTGTGTTTTGCTCCCTAAACTAGTGTCACAACCTGTTGGTCTATTCCTTCAAAATGTTTTTGGTTGGAACTTTCAATCACAATACTTTCTACGCCTTTATTTAGTTTTACCTTCCCCAACATTTTCTTACTACATCTTGAGTTAGCTCTTTAACCAAAATACTTTCCCTAATATCCCAATCAGTAATTATACCAACATCAAAATGTTTAGTATAATAATTTGAAATAAGCCTTGACCTGAAGTTTTTTAACACTAGCTAACCTCTGCCTTGCAGGGGTTCTAAAATTCGCCTCCATCAAACATGTTTAAGACTGTTTTCAGCAAGACCACACTTAACCTTACCTATTTTTACAAATGATTTTCAAATGCTTTTCGTCACCTCTTCAGTGAACTTTTATTAGTTCTAAAATAGGCCTACTTGAAATTTATTTAAAATCCTTTTTAGTTTGTAAATCCAAATGCTTCTATAGTTACACCCAACTATTGCTCACAAATCGCCAAATTCATTATGTTCTTATGTTTTGTCAAAACTATGTTGAAACTTCCCTTAACCATTACCAGATAGACGATCTCCAACAACGCCGCAAAGTCCCGGTGATCGCCGGGGGAACTTACTACTATGTGGAGTCCCTCCTGTGGAACTTCCTCATGGACGCGTCTCCTCCTCCTCAGAAGCGGCCGCGCCTGGATGTGAGCGGTCTGGGGAACCTGAGCTACCTGATCGCAGACACAGGTGACAATGTGATGGTGGACCCAGTGGAGAAACTGGCTGCAGGAGACAAGGAGAAACTCCACCAAGCTCTGCAGAGTGTGGATCCTGCAAGAGCAAATGAGTTGCACCCGAACAACGTCAGGAAAGTTATCAGGTAAGAATCAGAAAATGGCAGGGGTGGATTGTTTATTTTGAAATTTCTGTTTGGTATGTTATGTACGTGTCGTTATTTTGCCGCAACGTTTTTGTAGGAGATGAGCTCACTGAGGGTGTTAGATCTTCGTCTTCAACAGCTTTGCCGTACCAATATGTCTTCTGTTTTGTTTCCACGTCTTCGTTCTGATTGAGGACACATCACAACAGAAACATTTGATCATTGTTAGATTTAAGAAATGTATGCGACTCCTTCTTTGGTATATAGTATTTTTGCCAAATTGGATGGTTAATACTCTTGGAGATTCAGAGGCCTCGAATCAGACATGTATGTGGGCAGAACTCAGACTAAAAGTCATGTAGTGTTGTTGCCTATCACCGTTACTACTGGGTAGGCTCAATCCCACAATCTCTCTGAAGAATAATTAACTCAAATCAAATAGCGAAAGTGTAAACCTAGGCAAAGCGGACTGATGGTTTAGCAAATATTTTCGGTCTCATTGTTAAATCTTGTGGTCTCTTGATCACAAGTGTTACCTACATGTGGTTGGGAAGTGGAAGTATATAAATAAAATATTAAATTCAAACGTTTATTCAAACATTTAATTTCACAATATATTTATTTACTCGTATCCAGTGAACATTCTAAACTTCATTTCCAACCGAGACTAGAACCACACACCAACTATTAATTGAAAGAATGTTCCAAAGATTCCACTGGTTGTAAGACAGCATAATTTACAACTTACGATAAGACAAGTAAATAATAGTTGAAGAGTGGCCTGTAATAACATTAATGTTACTACATATGTTGGTGATAAGCGGGTGGCGGCTGCCCTCGTGACCTTGGTGTTTTTATCAGTCTTATCAGGTCTATGAACCAAGAGGCGCCCCAGTAACCCGTCTGGTTGTACTAATCGCGCGATACTTTGCATGCTCTCGTTACATTGTATCGCACTGATTGCAGAAAAGACTTGGTTGGAGAAATGTTTGGGTTGATAGTTGAATTTGTATCCTGTTCTTTATTTGTTTTCGGAAGTATGGATATTCTTCAACGCTGATTTTCGGAAAATGTGTTGAGATTGTGAGATTTCCTGGCTGGTTTTCTTTAAATCATCGTGTCTTCTACACTTTGGAGCATTTTGTTGAGTTAGGCGATCCTATTGGTAACGCAGAGGTTTCTGTGTGCTTCAGTCACACGAAGTCAAACTCTCTTTAGGTCACAAGAACTGGTCTAAAAGCTTATAAAGACAAATTTTCGGGAAACTTGGATGCTATTATTCCACCTTAGCTTCAGGACTTGAACTGGAAGCATTTAGCCACGAATTCAATAACCTTAGAAGGATAAAACCTTTTCATTATTCTTGCTCAAGTTCGATTGGTCTTGATGAAGTGCTTCACGTAGTAGCTCCATTTTTGAGCCTAGATATAAGAGCATGGCTAAGGTAACGGCTGTATCATAAATTAAGAATCCTTTCTCAATTGTGGACACGAATTTGAAGACATTTTGTCTACCCTTGCTATCCCACGAATATGTGTTGGCACATTTTTTGTCACAAAAACCCTAGTCCTAATTTAGCCTCAGGCACAGAAAACATACTACTGTTTTCTGTGCCTCAGGTCAAGACGAAACTTAACCCGCCCGAAAGGCCGCCCGAGATTGGCCATCATCCTCTCTAACTGGCTGAAGACGTGGTCAACTTGTGTGCTTCTAATCAGCAAACCCTTTTCCAACCCTGAAAATTAAGAAACCCCAGTTCGTACTCATCTATTCACACAGCAACCTAATGAATCGCATTTCCGCTACCCGCTTCAGTTCCCACCGTTCCGAGAACCGCGGTCAGTTTTTGATAGGGATTATCACCAGAGTGATACACCCGCCAAGGTCACTGATAGCGAGGTCGTGGGGTGAGATAAGGGTATCACCCCTTGGGAACTACCACCGCCCGCTCGTTAGTCAAGGAGCCGTTGGAAGGCGGCATCGTTAACGACGGTTTTGACTTGTGGCTCGTAAAACGAGACGTGGAGTCTCATTCTTCATCGTCGGCGCGCCGTCAAAGATGTACATTTTGCATGTTGTAGATCGTAAGTGGGAATTTGCTATGCTCAACAAAGAGTACTTAGCGTCTTGGACTCGATTTGTGATCCCATGATGAGTAGTTTACATATTTTATCCATTACTTACGGTATTTGTATTGAGTGGGGGTTTCTCTGAAATTTACAATTGGAAATGCTTAGTCATCAGAAATAGTTTGTGAATTTTTAATCCTGAACTATTTCAACTCAGATTATTCATAAGTTTCATTTTTGGAGGATTAATAAACTACTGCGCAAACACCATATCCCTTGTAGATATAAATGTGGAAAGGGTGTCGATGAGTAAATGAAAATAAATTAATTATATGGTATTGTTAAAATGTTTCATGACTTTGACGATTTAGTCTAACGAGTGAAAAGAACAATACTTGTATGCACATTTAACACTTTCTAATGTATTTTACTAACTGCGGCTTCAAACTATGTTTACAAATTATGAATTATTTCTTAGCTTGTGGGGGGGAGGACGCTAAACAGCATTTGATATTATGCTTATTCATACTAGTAAATTGTTAAAAGGTTTCTGTGTCCAAATATGAATAATTGGATTAACTGCTCTTAAAGATAAGACAAGTTTTGAAAGAAGTTAACCATGGCGACGAAATACAATTTTTGATTCGTGTCGCCTGAAAAGTCAGTGAAAGCCTGTGTTAATCATTGCTCTTGTGTGTGCCATTCTACTAAACCCCCGTAATCATTTTTGGCGGTCATTAGCACACTGAAAATAATAATTTTCTCTTAAAACGATCAGCACCAGTTAATAAGAGGAAGCGTCAAAGTGATATGACTATCCGTACTAAACGTGTTTCATGTTACTCTATCGTCAGTTTGGAGAACTCGGGAGAAGGAAATGGTTACTAATTTTAACCTAAAACAGGGCTGTATGCTAAAAAATATTAAGGGGTATGTATTCAAATAAAATTTTCCATTCGTTCAGTATTTAAATTAGTTGGCGTTCCTAATATAAATTGTATGTGTACTTTTAATAACTGAAACCAATTTAAGTAAACAATTTTTTATCTTCGAAGTGTTACAGCTTTTTTTTGGTAGTTCGATCTGGGGCAAATTAGTAACACTGTGGACTATGTTTTACTTAGGGCCATTGAAGATTGATATACAGTACAAATCTATGAGTTTAAAATCTACTCATTATATTATTCTCGGAGTGTACTCTTGATGTACTAGTAGTTGCTGTCATACAACATTCAACATTTTCACCATGGGGTTTTTAACCAAAACCACCCATTGCCACTGATCTATGCCCGGTGACCCAAACAGCGACTTACCCTATTGGTACAAGGATACAAGGCATATGGGCGGGGATAAGCTGTTGGTGACTGGTAACTGCAGTGGTAAAACAGTGGAGGTGGCCAATCTTGAACCAACATCTGGCTTATAAGCCGCACAACTGAGCTGTATTTACTGCTGAAAAAATCAAATTATATCTGATTGTCGACTTTGTGTTCATCTAATCACAGCTTGTAGACAATTTCAGTAATCTCAAGAACAAGGAAACACAGATAATCAAGCCACATACTACTGTACTCTTGTTTTCCTTAGATGTTTAAAATACAGTACGATCATTAGCTTCGCTTTGAAAATCCTTCAAATCGGTGACAATAGTGAAATGGGTCGGCAGTTTGTTTGATTTATTTCTGGCAACAAGGCCTGACTGCTCGTGTGCACTTTAACAGTAGGCTTTACAACAAGTACTCTGGGACAAGGTCTTGTGGCTTAGTTAGGAGCTAAATGTGTAAGTCTGGAATGCGTTTGAAGATAGTGTCCTCGCAACTTACAAGATAAACGGGCACGGTCATAAATACTTTAAACATGATATAGTAGGATGTCCTAAAGAGTCAAGCAGGAAAAATACGTTAATCGATGTGAAAGGTTGGTCCGTTAAAAATCGTAATTTCCCCCCTCCCCCCCATACTTCACTTAATTTCTTTCACATTCGTCAACTTCTCGCTCGTTTTCATGATTGAAACATAAAATCTGCCAAAGTAACCTTTGCAAACAATAGGCTATTTGGAGGAACATACTTGCATTAGCATAACATCGTTCGTGAACGTGAGTATAATTTATATCTCATCGTTAGAAGATCTGATCGTGGTTTCATATTTATTTTTTTAAGTGACGTCGCAAAAGAGGCGTGATGGGTGAGAAATGCAAATCTTGGAGTTCCTCTTACGTCATTGTTTTCCCTATGTAATTTGCTGTGCTAAACATCTTGACTTTGGATTACACTCGCTGGCTCTTACGTATCTTTTGGCTAATCTTCTCGTGACCAACTGATTAATTGTTCTTAAAGGTAGGATTGTTTTGTGGATGCATTTGCTAAGAACATTTTCATTAGGTAAGAAGAAGGAATGGTGTAATTTGTAAATGAAAATTGATACCAGAGGTCTTATACAATTATGTAGGCCTACATGGTATATTACGAAGTAAATTATAATAAATCTTTACCCCTCCTCAAGTTATACAACCAATCACAATATACTAGACTCTAAAATAGAAATTATCTCCAAGTCAACAATGAACATAAAGACTTATATTACGTTTTGTTAATCAACGAAAACAATTTGCTTTTAAATTGTGAATAAAAAAACCCAAGAAAAAACAAGACTTCTGAGTGGGCGGGAGTCCAATCAATTAATGAACTTAATAAAAATCAAAGTCATTTGATTTCTAAATGGCACAATATTGTCGTACAAAAGCTTAATCGACAAATTGTTTCAGTTTTAAGATTAGAGTCAGTTGTAAATCCTCGATGTACCATAGTGTTTCTAAATAAACCATTCCGTCACTTCTAATTGACAAACGTTTATTAATTCTTGACACTTTATCATCGGTTCTCCATGCAGTCGACTATAGTTTCTTGATAGACTTGTCAATGAAGACTTT